CGCATAACCCCGTCGCACACACGCGGGGGCCCAGGCACACCCAAACGCGCGCCCCCCTTACGCCACCAACTGCGCGCACCCCTACGCACACCGAACGGCGCGCACCCTACGCAACCGCACGCACGCAGCCCCTACACACACGCCACGCAAGGCCCTTAGCACAGCAAGCACGCAAGCCTACACACTAGCGCACGCACCATACAACCACGCACGACCCCTACACGCAGCACCCTACACGGCACGCACCGCCTAACACGCCAAGCGCACCCCCTAACGAGCACCCCTACACACACGGGCACCACCCTAACACACACGCACGCCACCCTACCACACGCACACGCACCCCTCCACACGCACGCCCTACACGCACGCACCCCTACACGCTCGCACCCCTCACGCGAGCACCCTACCACGCACGCACGCAGCGCACCCCTCACGCTCGACGCACCCCTTACAACCTGCACGACGCACCCGCTGACACAACACGCACGCACCCTACACGCACCGACCCCTACACGGCACGCACCCCTACAACGCACGCACCCCTACACGCTACGCACCCTACACGCACACGACCCCTGACACGACCACGCACCCCCTGGCACACGCATCCTAACACACACGCACACGCACCCGCGCACACACGCACCCCGTGCACACACGCACCGCCTGCCACACATACCCACATGCACACACCCCTACTACACACCAACTATTTCTTTTTTTCGTTGTGACTGGTGATTCCTGTTATGACCATTCTCAGTCAACGCTGTCTCTTTGATAAAGCTCTTGTCGTTCGCTAATATTGCTATCTCATACGTTTTTATCGCATTCTTCAAAATTTTGTTTTCTATAAGCTTGTGCTGTGTTGCGTTGCGCTGCTAAAATGTGATGCATGATTTATATGTATGCACTAGTAATACTGTACAGTATTGTTTACCATTCATTTTTGACGATTTAGGTTGATTTCCGATTGAGGGTCATGGGAAATTCTGATTCCTTTCGAGTCTGAACAGACTGAGGGGAGAACAGTTGACGCGGATCTAGCATTGGGGACGAGGGGCAGTAGAAAAGGATTACCCGGGCAAGTTGACTGGATTAGAGAGCTCCATTGCCAGCTCAGTGTAACTGTGTTTTGATTAATGTGTCAGAAACCATCAGAAGCGAAAATTAAAAATACAAAAGCTTTTTGAACTTCTGACATTGATGAAATTTGATTGCGTTCATCACGGAAATTATGGAAGATGATCATCTGCATTCTCTTGCACACAAGTAAGTCTGAACAGCTGATTCTCAGAAGATGCGGGCGTCGAAGAAACTAGCCATGGATAACAGCATCAAAAGTATTATGTGTTGGAAAAGCGAAGTTGATATTAAAAATGATTCATATTATTGACAGTAGTGTGAAGAATTTCAGTGTCAGTGAATGCATTCTGCCTCGATTACAGAAACCGAGAACGGCCCCAAACGTTGAAAATTTAACACACAGCATTTTCCTCCAATTGCAAAAAGATGAGTTCCCCTAGACCAAGTAACTTGTACTACTGAGATTAGGGAGCACGATGTTACATAAAACGCAGACGCGGGGCGAGCTCGGGGGGAAGCGCTATTTGTGCTGCAGTACAAAGTTAGTGACATTGCTTGATGTTACTGGTCGAGGTGGCTTGCGAAACCCAAGCAGCTCTGTATCAACAACCAGACACAGCTTACTGTGCCAGATTCATTGGATTTGCGCGATATAGTAATATTTAAGTTTAAAGACACTATACAATACCAACATTGATTAGTTGTTTTTGACGTTTATGGAGTAGCTACTGTAATTTCATAATTAATTGCTTATGTCAGTCTAATTTCTTAGAATTATTCTTGATACATCATTATATTGTTGATATTTGCTGGTACATAGTGGAAAGATCCTTCTGGATGAATTAAATTGAGATCACAAATATGAGTTTTTACGTGAATCTTAGGTGCTTGACAAATTTAGCTCTTTATATGTTTTACATATATATAATAATAATTATATATTTTTATTAATTATATTTATTTTTATTTATTATTATTACATATTTATTATTAATTATTTACTATTTTATTAGTAACATTTTTTACTACACTACCTATACTGACTATACTTATACTACTACTGTGTTTTAACTCATGGTAAGATTGTCATTGGCTGTGAGTGGCCAAGTGGCAGTGTTCACTTCTGGGGAAACTCTCAGGTGGAAAGGAAAATTGTCTGAATGTGATACTGATGGTCTGGCAGTACAAGGATAACTCCCTGACATTGCCGTCTGTACAATGTTGTATTAATATATAACTTTTGGTGATATTAATGTGTTTTTCATTATTGCTGTGAAGGGGTGGATTAATTATGTTGTGTGTTATTAATGGTTATGAGTGGTTAATGCAGATTTAGTGAATTTCAAATTTCACAACAGAAAGGGGAAAGAATAAAAATCTAATATTGAGTATTGAGATTACGTTTGGAGTAGGAGACAGTCAACTGAAAGGAGCAACAACTGAGCAACGTTCTTGTGGTCTTCGATTACTGTAATGTGCAAAATTAATTCGATGAATATAATAATGTAAGTTTGGACTTGCGCCTGAACATAACATTGGAATCTATTGAAACTTGCACAAATTGTAGAGGTGCATTAAGACAAGTCCAATATTTTTGTCAGGAATGTAGTATGTTCCACATTTGAGGTAGAATATTTTCAGGCAAGAACCGTATTTGCGTCGGCAGGTTAGTGACTCTGTAGTGCCCCTCAACATGAAAGGAGCATCTTGGATTTCTATGATTTTCACTCAATTGGCTTGTCATGGTTCTTCACTTTTGAGGAAGTCGTATCTCTCTTGAACCCTGTATCAAGAATGCCATATGCTACAAATGCGCGTGTGCCGTTCAGTTCCCATGACTTATGGATTCTAAATTGTGTTTCTTCCAAGCAACCTTGATATGCCAATTGGCGTTTTGTAGAATCCAATTGTTTTTTTGCATTATTAATGTCTAAATGTTGGGTAGTCATCTAAAGTCTATCAAGAATGATGTCGACCCTTGACGTCGAACCTTTGTCGACCTTGAATGTCGAACTGTGGCGAACCTTGAATTCGCTTGAGTCGCCCTTGATGTCCCCTATGGTCGAAACCCTTGTGTCCACTTGGTCGTACCTTGATGTCGAACCTTGATGTCCGAACCATTGAATGTTCGACTTGTGTCCGAACCTTGTGTGACCCTTGATGTCGAACCTTGATGTCAACCTAGTCGAACTTGGATGTCCGAACTTAGTCCCCTGCCTTGATGTCCTTGGTCCGAACCTTATGTCGCCGTGACTGTCGAACTTATTCGA